CTGGGAGCATTGTTTCAAATAATTCATCTATATGCAAAAAAGAGTTTCCCAGAGTTTCTCAAAAGACAGAGATAAATAAATCGTACTGTAAGAAGGTTAGAAAATCATACGTGTGCCACAAGCGAGGTTCTGATATACCAAGGTGCAACACAGTTCGTCCTGATATTGTCTTTTGCCCACTCACAAGCCAAAGTTCTTGCAAGTTGATTCATTGCCCCTGTGAATAGAAAATTGGAAGAAAGCCCTTTTGACTATTTCACAACCACGAAGTTCTCACTCATACTTATTTGAAAAGGACACTAGATTTCAACAGCTACTCACCTTTACTTGCTCCATAAATCGATCCAGCACCTAAATGCACAAGATCCGCAACAGAGGAAATAAATACAATGCTTCCTGCTCCAGAGGCTGTTAGAAGAGGATGTGCAATTTGAGACAAATGGTATGCAGATTCGAAATTAGTCGCCATGACTTACAAAATTTTTTCAGCAGAATAAACAGTTGTAGGCTTCCTGATAATTTTGCCAACATTGTTTCCCTAAATAACATATCATCCACATTAAATCTCGGGGAAGTGTAGAAAACAATAACTCTCTTTCCACGGATTCTTGCAAATGGGAGGGATAGGAGTGGTTAATTATCTCTGGTGGCCTATATAAATGGGGTTCATAGGCACCCAAAAGCGCACAAAGAAGAACGAAAACAACATATTTGGTAGGAACGATGCTATCAAATATGAACACATTCCATTAGAAAGCAAAGGGTGCAACATCACGGACAGAAATAAGAATTAGATCATCATTACAATATACAGTCAAGCCTTTCTCCTTCAAGCACAAACCATAAATTTCCCAATTGAACTAGCACGACGTGATAGCATAAGAACTGAGCAGAAATATGACACAAAATCAACCCTACGTCCTCAAACCAAAGAAATTTATTCATAAAAATTAAAGATGCAAAGTCATGGCTTCCAATTAACTGGCCACCTTAAAGTCAACAAGGGTGAAATGTAAAGATCGCTTTTGTGGCAAAGAGCCACTGAATGCCTAAAAGTGATGAATCAATGGAACTGAATCAAAGCGCCACTTTTAGCAACCCCTTCAAAGAAAATTGCTAATGCATACACAAGCTGCAAACCATACGCCTAAATGAGTAAAACAATTCACGAAAAAAATTCGATTTCGGCAGCAACTGCAAAGATGTTTCAAAGACCAAGTTTTTACAGGGTTACTTACAATAACGTTGAGTTAGCCATTAAAAAAACCTAGCCTCCTATTCTTTCAAGCACTTACTGAGCTCTTCTTCATTTCTAGAGCATATATGCACTCTCGCTCCTAGCCCAGCAAGTTCCTCCACTGTTGCATTCCTAATAAAAAGCACAGAAAACATCAAGGATTAAAAAAGAAGTGATTCCAGATAATAGGTCATCTTTGAATTACAAAGAAATGTACTTCTTGGAAGACTTCAAAATCCATAAAGAGAAAAAAAAATGAGAAAGTTTTAAACTTTGGTATTAGAGACAGATGGATAGAGAACCCGATTCCACGAGTACCACCAGTGACAAGAGCAGTCATTCCATGAAGAGACCATCTGGAGTCTTTGAAACTGCTGCTCTCTGCCATTGCCAGCCATTGATTTTCTCTCTGATTTGACAGAGTATTGGTGTGTGTCTTTAGGAAACCTCCGCTCGTCCAACGTAAATCAAATGAAGATGATTTTTGTAGCTCTGGACGACAAATGAAAAGGTGAACCACAGATTGTGTCCTATCTCTCTCTCCAGAGTTTTTCCCTTTATATATATATATATATATATTTTCTTTTAAAAATCTTGTCAAGCTGATATTTCTACTCAACTATTCCAAACAACTAATTTATTAAATAAGACTGGGCCAGCTGATGTCCAATCAAACCCAATTTGATGCATGTATAAGCTTATCACATCGTCTAATGGGCCATGGAGTCATTGACAGAATGACAGCCCATCTCACTGACAACTCTCTGTAGCGATAGTTCCCTATCCGGTTGGGTTGCTATTTGGAATTTAGACAATCTGTTCGTACAAAGAGATTATTAATTATTCACAATGTAATACTCCGTATATACGAAAAAGTATAAAGCACTATTTTGTTTTCTTTCAAGGTTTTCAAATTTCATTTTGCTCGTGATATCAGCTTATTTTGTATTGTTTTTTTATATCTAAATTACAGCTAAGATATTCCAAGTTTATTTTATTAATTCAATTTTAAATAAGAGTTTGACAAAACTAAAATGTAATATTATTATCTTTACTTACTAAATCTAAATCTAAAACTAAAATCTAAATCCTTATTTTTATCAATTTCTCATTCCTATTTTTTCGTCTTAAAACATTATTATTTTTTTAATATTTATTTGTGCTGAATTATTCGAAGTTAAAAATAATAAAACATTTAAAAATTTAAAAAATGAATTGGTATATATATATTACAAGATCCTGGAAATTTAGCTTGATCCTAGAGAAACGACAAAACAGTTTGAAAATGAAAATTTATCATTTTAATATGAAAAACAAAAGGCTAATTAACTGGAATGGAATTTACATATTTTCTCAAACATCTTGGGATGGAAATGTACAAGATATACACGAGACAGCGAGACATTTCACGCATGCTAGTCTTTAGCGTGGAACATACAGATATTTTTTTCTTGATCTTGTTAGGGGACTAATTTGTCTCAGAAACCGCTCCTGCCATTTCCGAACGCTCACCAGCCAACTCCACTGGCCTAAAATACAGCTCAAGTTCTAGGCCTCCTGGGAGGTTTGGTGTAGTGATGGACTTAAATAATTGAACAATTAATGTTTAATTTGCTTTAGGAGCTTAGTTAAGTGGATCCTGCTGCATCTCAATGTTACCGGAGATGCAGCATGTAGAATTCGAGGGAGACCGGGAAAGAGTCCTTCTCAGAACCGACTACTCTCAGGTCTCACTCTGCAGGCCAGCAGACTAGAAACTGCTATCCAATAGCGAATGCTGCCGTGGGACATAGAAGTACACTATGGCCAAAGGAGCAAGCCATGTCTACTATTTTCGAGCACTCTACAATTTTACAAAGCATCCTAAATACAGTAAATCCCGACCCACCTCACGCACAAATAAGCTATATAGGCAGGGGGAGAGAGAGAGAGAGAGATCAGCTTCTTCTCCACATTCCCATAGTAAAATCTATGAAAGCAACAGAGAAACAGACATATCATATTGTCCATGTGCACCTCTCTGAAGCCTAATCTGTCACTACAGCAGTATTTGATTCAGATTCATAAATATGCAGCTCCTTAACCTATACACCAGACAAAACTCGCAACCAATTCTCTTTAATCTCCCTCTTACACAAACATAGAAACCCAAGTAACTAACCTCACTTTCCCTTTTATGTTTATCTATGTATCTATCAAAGTCAAAACTCACGGGAAAAACCCACCTCAAGATTAACAACACAACAATCTTCAATAGTCTAGGATTTAAATATATCTAGAACAATACATCCTATATATATATATAGGATTTCTTTACTGGACAACTTAAATTCCCTGCATGTGCAGCAACGTGTCTCAATTTCTCTTCGTCTCGCGCCATCTGTCTTTCCCGTGAAAGAACTCATTTGAATTTTTTTTATATTTTTAAATTGTTTTAATATGTAAAAAGTCAATTTTAAAAAATAAAAAATATTATTTTTATGTATTTAATTATCTTGCTCCAAGTCAAATTAAAGCGCTGTTTCATCAATTTCCCTTGTTAAGAAACGCTGAAAAAACAAAAATATACAACCCTTAACTGGGCGTTTATTAAGGAAGAACAGTCTATATCAAAATGTGGCTAAATGGCAACTATTATTGTACTACCATTACTTTACTGAATTCCTGTCCAATAACCACACAGGTCTAGCTGAGGGTCTCAAAAAATGTTAATTTCTTAGACATTTTTAGGCTTCTATAGGGTTTGGTCGTTGATAGTGAATAGATACAACAGTAACATGTACATACAAAAAAGCGCGTAAATAGTGTCGATGATGTGATCTAGACATGTAGCAGAAACTGTGCAAATCTCTATATTTTACTAAATTTGATTCTAAAGAGCTGGTGCATGTTTGTGGACGATATGGAGATTTTAGAGAGGAAAGAATAAGAAAACAGGAAGTGTGTGGATTTATTCTGGGTTGGATTCAAATGAAAAGGTGCTGGTACTGTAATAGCTGGTTTTTTGGTGAAAGGTGACAATAAGAAGGTAAAAAGAGAAATGATGTTCCCTAATGTTAATCCACAAGCATGTAGCTGAAGTGACTCACTGTCAGTTCTTTCACACCTTTTAAAACCCCACTCTCCCTATCTCTCTTCTGAAATTGTCTAGCTGACGTCTAATGGTGTTTAGTGTGCAAAGGAAGAGTTACCCTGTTTCCCGTACAGCCTTGGCTAGACTTTTTCCGCCTGAACCACGCTGAGGGATTTGAATCCTAATGGCTATCCATCTTCACTGAGTGTTTGGAAGGAAGGTAATTTGTATTTTTTTAATAAAAAATATGTTTTTCTTTTTAATTTTTAAAGATGTGTGATTTATACTTAAAAAAATATTATATTTTTTAAAAAAATTACTATTCTTTAGAGCCAAACACAAATTTCTACTCAAAACCTAGCTAATACATTTATTTATTTTTATGAATTAAGTACCCTAATACAATTAACATCCCTCTACATGACATTCAAAACCTCCGATCATTTCCATGAATTATAGAATAGATCGAAGTGCCATATTAAGAGAGGCTGTGCGATTCTATCGTTTTTCATAGGCAAAACTCCTTGCCATTAATTGGAACTGATAAATAACGAAGTGTAAACAGTAAATATCAGAAATGAGATGTAGAGGAAAAGCTTTTTATTCTTTTAGTTTTGATATTAGTACAAGAGTTCTTTGCCTATCATCCATTAGATCATGAAATCTAGAGAAAGGGGAAAAAAGAGTAGGTGCCAAATCAAGAAAGACCATTTCCTTTCTTATCATGCTAATTAAAATATGTGCTTCAACCCCATACAATTGCACTCTAAAGCTGCCGCTGCTAACACTTCACCTTTTTGGTGTCTCACCAAGCCTGAGTTCAAGATCTATGCCCTCGTTGGAGCTAGAAGTAGGTCCGGTTGCCTCTGATTGAAGAATGTATCCATCATTTGGACGTGGCTTAACCAACAGTGAGAGTACTGAAACATTGGTTCTAGGCCTTTTGCAACTGACTGCCTCATCACCACAAGAACCAGGTGATAATAAACTGTGGCTATTAATAACTGAACCTAGGTCCATAAATAAGTCCGTCGCAGCAAACTTATCATGGTTCAAGCATGTAACCTTTACTTCACCTTGATTCCTTTCTGCTTCAGGTTTTGAATGAAGTCTAACTGACAAAGAATGATCTGAGCCTGATAAATTATCATGGAGATAAGGATACCCTTTATGCTGTTCTTGAACGAAGGAAGAAGAAGGGGGAGAAACAAAGGCATGTTCACTTAAATGTTCTTGACTGGACAGAGTTGAAACCCTATAAGAGGACAGAGTTGATTCAATATTAGTAGTTCTAGAGACAGAAAGTTTGGGGTCAAGATCATAATTATCTAAGGTGCAAACCTGATCAGATGGGAAATGAGACCCTAATGGTTTAAGTGAATTTTGGATATGATTTTGATGTTGAAAAACATAATTATGAGGACTAAGAGATTGCTTAAGCCTAGCCCTATCCCTCCTATGAACATTCATGTGACCACCTAGGGCTTGAGCTGACCTGAATTCTCTGTTACAAAAACTGCAAGAATAAGATCTTGGCGGCCAGATGCATCCACCAAGATGCCCAGATGAATCTTCTGCGAAAGCTTTCTCTTCCCACGAACCACTGATGGATTTCATTGGTGCTGGCAGCTGTGACTTCAAGAGTTGTTTTCTCTTCATCCACAGCCAGTATTGAGCTTGTTCCATGGTGATATATAACACAAGAAATGCTGAATTAATGGAGACTGGAAGGAAACTCAGAGGTAGGTTCTGAATGGAAGCTTTAATGCAAGGCAAGAAGTTAATATAGAAAAGGTACAACTAGAAGTGCAGTTCTGTGTTCACTCACTGTTGAATACGTGAAAGCTACTTGAGAATCTAGAAAAAGCTCAGCTGAAAAAGTCTCGTTTCTAGTTTTATTATAGCGGGTTTAGTCTTCTTATTTGGCTCTTCCATTGAAGCTATGCAGTTGGTTTTTGGCTTGTTCGATACAGTCGCTGTTAGAGGGTATTATTTTGGCAATTTTTTGAAATGTGACATTTAAGTGTATATCTTCCGATCACCATGCGTGGAATTACTACCAGTCATTAATAATAAACGAGACAATGGATTATTATACCACCCTTGTATACTATACTGCCTACCTAAGTAGCTATCTATTTATTTTCTAGTAACTGCTGGGACTCTATATATATATATATATATATATGCACACGTACCTACTCAAGAATCTAAAAAAAAATATACGTTGAAGATGAAAATTACAGAAATGAGTGATTTTTAAAATACATATTTTTAAAAAATATATTAAAATAGTATTGTTTTTAACATCAATATATCAAAATAATAAAAATATAAAAAAATAATTTAAATCAAATTATAATAAATAATTTTTTAAAAAATGAAAAAAAAAAAACAGTACAGACCACAGAATCCAGACAATTAGACCAATTGAATGAGGGTTCACACGAGAAAAAAAGGGAGCGAGTACTTTTGATGAAATAGTTAGTATAATCATTGTATTGCTGTACTTCCTCGCGTGCTTTCTCAACTATACGTTCAATAAAGACACCCATTCATGAAGTTGCCTGCTACCTTCACATAACTTTGCGAGCGACTGTTTTAGATTGTCGTTAACAGGCAGAAGTTGGAGTGTAGCGTAACGATGTATTTGTTTTTCTGAGGTTTGTTTCTCATTTTGTTGGTAGGAATGAAATTAGAAAAAAATATTAGTATTTTTTGGATCGATGGTTAGGTTTTTTTGTACTATTTAAGATTTATTAAAAAAAAATACCATGTAGCTCTATTTTTATATAGTAAACGTTAAATCTTATGTTTTTCTAATTTATTTTTTATTGGAATATTTATTGATAATTGCTCGATGTTCTTAACAACTGAGAGCTTGTGCAATTGCCTTGAAACGTAGTAATGTTCTCCAATTTTCGCATTTGCAGCCAGTACTCTCCGATCCTCGTTCGGCATCACAAGGGTGGCTTCTTGAGCGCTCTGTGTTGAGAAGTAACTGCGATGCTTTGCTAAAAATAGTGTTGAGCCGAATATTCAAGCATCCAGTCATGTTCCTCAAATCGAACATGTCTCGAAAAACTAATCATCATTCCTAACGGGTTTCTATTCTTATGTTTAAGATTTCGATCAGATCATTTCAACAATATTTTTGTTATTCCATTCCAAGTGATATACAAAATATCTCGATATGACGGATGAAAGAATTAAAACCTATCCATGAAGGCTCCAGCAGACAAGGACAGGCACTTGTGAAGGATTGGTTATTAAATAAGCACGCAGAGATCATTATAATATCACGATCATTATTTGATTTAATGACCAACTTTCCTCTGTAAACAAATTAATTAAACAAGCTTGATTGTGAAGCTCTCAGTCTTTGATTTAACGACCAGCTCTCCTCTTGTACCTCTAGTGAATGTAATTAGAATCCTTCTGTTTTTTTCTTCAACGTCTCGTCTGGTTAACAAGTCAAAGAAAGCTCTCTCTCCATTAATTAGGACTAAATGGCATTGATCAGAGATCATATTTTTCCAATGAAAAATTGTGTTTAAATGGGACATTTGAGAGCTGACAAGCCACAGCATTAACGTATTAGGTGGAGTGTGTTTACTAATAGCCATAGAAGTCGATTACAAAAATACCAAGTGGATTATTTTTTGGCATAGTTTAAATTATCCCAGCTAAATTAAATGAGTAGCATTAATCGAATAGAAGGTTTATGACTATGACAAACTGTACTGTTCGAGACAAATAAGGATGTTACTAGTTCATCAAGAAACGCAGATTTCTTAAAATTCGACTTGAGACAAGTAGCAACTTTTTACTCGACTTTTCGATCAGTTCGGAGCATTCTCAAAAGAAATGGGAATCCATTCTTTAATCTTCTTTGACTTCTTCATTCGAACTTGATGCGATTGGATTGTGCATGTTTCTCCAATCTGTTCACGGACTGGCATAAATTCTTGTTGCCCTAGCTAGCTATTTATAGAGGTGACTTGACACATTGAGTACCATACATAGGAATACAATAAAATATAAATTAAGAGCTTTTAAACTTTTAATTTTCTTATTCATAATTGATGAACCAAGGAATCCTGGCTAGGGCAGACGTTATAAAAAAAGGAGCTACAAAATTTTTTATTTGTTGATATGTTTCTTTCAGTCTCCTGAAACATTGCCTCGAGACAACTTGCATGAAAGAGGATTCCTTGTTATCGATATATAGCCACAACCCATAATTTCAAAACATTTTTCTTTCTTTGTTTTCGTCCAAGTCAAGACTGCAGAATTCAAATAGCTTAATCAGTGGGAGAATGGAAATGCTTTAATGTATAATGCTTTGATGATTGCGCAATCATTGACTACGAAAGACTATTTCTTCGATAAAAATACAAGATTGTCTTCACACGTAGCAGACAGGTGCTACCTAAACTGTCTGGTCTTGATTCTCAACTTGTGGAAAAATTAATTGTAATGAAGAGCATGATTTGTCTAAAAAAAACACGACTTGATTGCAAAACAACAAACAAAGATGGCTTAAAATAGACCTTTCCGAGATAACTATAACTATAAAATGGTGATGAAGCTTAAACCATTAAAATATATAATTTCTTGCCGTAACAATAATTAATTAGTTCAGTGGGTTTTACTTTGGGAATAAATCTTAAATCAAAGAATTCATTTTGGCCGAGATATGCAACGTAATAGACAAAAGTAAAGAAATACTTCGAAATACACCTTGATTTCAAAACCTATATCTTGAGTTTTGTATAGATATATAATGGTACTACTGATGGAAGAAGGATGAAGAAATCAAGGATTGTGTTTAGTGTTGGTCTGAAAATGTTCTCCTTGGCCATCCCCTAAGCATAACTTTGTCAATTTAATAGTCTAGCTGATCTCCTTTTTTTTTAACTGCAGCCTTAAATATTGCCTTGTGTTAGGAGCAAAGGACTCGTCAAGCACTGGCTGATGAGTTTTAAAGTCCTTTCTTGTGATGGGCTAGTCATTAATGAACACAGCAAATACAGAGGACAGCTTGCTACTGCCGCTGATTTCTGAGCAAATCAAGGGATAGCCTTGTGATGCTAGGAACCTCATCAGCCATTACCTTTGCACCAGGCTATCCTCATTCGTGTTTAAGTTTTCAGGTCTTGCTTGTTTTGCCCTCACTCTATGCCCGTAAGCTGAAAGTTTTTGTCTTGAAGTTTGGGAGGCCGAGCTTAATTTTGCACTGCAATTTTGCCATAGTTCCAGTTAAAATTAGCCCATGGGTCTCATTTGCTAACTGGATTTCCTTGGGCCAGGATACATAGATCCTTGATACGCATCTCCAGTTGCAAACAGTGTAGATAAATCCATGGCCTTGCATTTTCCATGGCCGAACAAGGCATTTGTCACTGCCCGCAGCAGTCTAATTTGTTTTCGAATGGTAGATTATTCAATCTATCGTTTTCAATGATCAATCCTCGTGGAAGAATAATTATCGAGGAAATATTACGTAAGTGTATTTTGTAGTAATCTGATTTTTATCAGTAAATGATGGTGAAGATAAACTGTCATGCCACTGATTTCAGAAATGTTAACTGAAAATATTGCGGGACCATGACATGCATGGCGTTACGATTATAAATGCTGGTGTAAGAGAGAGAGCTGCCATGGAATTCCATTGACAATGGGAGAAGTGTGCAGTCTTGTGGAGGAGAGCTGTCACGGAAAATGAAGCCGAGGAGCTCAGTCAACCACATACAGATTATACTTTTTTGACTTCTACTACTACGATGTAGATGGAAAATTTCATTATTTGATTTTTTGAATAAATTGATTGATGTCGTCCACCCAAGTCAAGGTGTTCTTCTGGATAATGCCACATTCACCCGTAGATTTTTTGTGGGCTGGTTGCTTGAGGACTGAAGGCCTTTTTATGTGGGCCTTGTTGGGCTTCTTGTCTTATACTGGCGTAAAGGAAGGACATGGTTCGGTGCCCTAATCTTACTTGACCATCTCATACTCCTTATGTTTTCTTTTTTTATCCTTGTCGCTCCCAGGAAACCACCGTCACCGTTTAATGATTTCTTTCCCTTTCGTTGACGTTTCTGCTACTGTTGGAGTTGTTTGTGGTTATGCGCTCTCGTTGCTCGAAGAGCGGGCCCCAGCAAGGCTGGGCCTTTTCCGTCTAGGACAGCACTGGTGTATTAACCACGTTCTCACAGCTGCTTGAATAAAATGAAATATAATATCTAAATCCTTGAATTTTTTTATTTTTTGATCATCGGCGTGAAACCCAGCAGAAGAATTCAAAAACCCATTTTAATGGATACATACAAATAAAAATAAAATCAACATTGAAAAAATAAAATCAATTAGTACTAAAAAATTAATTTAAATAAAAACTCATATTATAATTCGAAATTGAAAAAAAAAAAGAAAAAAGAGGCCAATTTTTTTTTATTGTATGATTAAAAGTAAAACAAGTAATTTATCATCAACTCAATAATAAAGAAGAGTAAACCTAAATAAAATTATATATTAAGAAATAAAATAAAAAAAATTAATAGATAAAATAAAAATCTCATAAATTAAAAAATTAATAGATAAAATAAAAGAAATGAGGCAAAAAGAAACCTGAATAACTAACTATATATATATATAAAAGCCATGTGAATATATAAAACCCAGGGGCGAGTGGGCTCGCATGCGCGGTCCCTTTGTTTTTTTTCACATGCCGACTAAAATAATTTATTTGCTCCGGTGATTTCAAAGTCATGCTACGTGTTAATCCCTGAAAACAACATGAAAATCTTTTTTAAATAACTAAAATGATATACCAAACAGATTTTTTACTTAAAAAAATAGTTAAACAAACTCTGTTTATTTTAGTTTTATTGATAATTAAATAATCAATGATTACGAGAGTTGTTTCACGCACGTGCGTATGGCTTGCTTTTGTTTTCGAAGGACTTTGGCACCTTTCTCCATTAAAAAAATGGGGAAAAAAAAAATCCTGGTTCCAACATTTTAAAGATACCGCAAAATTGAAGGACCAAATCTACTAAACACTTCAGTTTTTATTGAAATATTTAAATAAAAAAATATTTTATATTTTCAATATAAAATATTATAATTCTCAAAATATTAGATCAGGTAATGTGATAAAAATTATATTTTTAAAAAATTAATTAAAATAATATTAATTTATTATTTAAAATTTATTTTAGATATTAACTCATTAAAATTAAGATGATAAATAATAAAAAATATGATTGTATTTTAAATAATTTTTTATGTTAAAATATATATATATGAATAATATTTTTTTTATTTTTTAAAAGTTATTTTTATAACAATATATAAAAATATTAAAAGTATATTAACTTAAAAAAGTAAAAAAAAATTGACTTTTTTAAAAAATATTTTAAAAATATAGAAACAAAAAGTTACAATAGTGTACCATCCTCTTTCCCTTGTTTTATCCCAATCTAGAGAAGAAAAACCGAAAAGAAACACATGGTTAAAACACCACTACACACAACAAGTGAGAAAACAGAAAAGAAATACCAGAAGAAGGGTAAAGACTACATATGTGTGTGTGTGTGTGTGTTGCTATATCAGCCACGGAGGAATTCATAATACCAGAAGAAGGGTAAAGACTACATACGGGTGTGTGTGTATTGCTATATCAGCCACGGAGGAATTCCTTATTGTGTCTCGAGTAAGCTTTGTTTTATCGATTCAAATTCTTCTGGGTTTTCTCCTGTTTTATGTGTTGATCAATAGAAGATATCTTGGTTCTCTGAGTTTGGGCCCAGATGAATAGATTTACAGGGGTCATGGGTAGTCTCAGAAATTAGATTTTCTCAAAGGTTTCTCCTTTCCTTTCCATCCCTTTTCTTTTTTGTATGATCAACACCAGCAGAGAAGTCTGAGCTCCACTTTTTTTCTGGACTTTAGTGCATGCTTTTCCTAATTCCAGAAACTAGAATTTCTCTTCCAGCAACTTCTGGTAGTCTCTGATCAACTAGTATTTTCCTCGAGCTCCTTCGAAATGAGTCAGACTCATTTAGGACCTCGTCATGACGCGGCCGGAAAATTTAGACTGGTTTCTCTTCCAGATAAAGCCTGCAAGATTTTCTCATATCTCAAGAGAATATCTCTCCTCCTCTGTCTCTTTTTCTCAATATCTATCGTCCTTTGCACCACTTTTTCCCCCAACCACAACCAATTCTGGAATCGGTTACCCCCCCGCACCCGAACCGGAACCAAACTCGCACCCGGCCCGCCCACTAACATCTCCCACATCCTTTTTTGCATCGGTGGATCAACCGCCACATGGCGCGATCGTAGCCTGTACAGCTCCGTCTGGTGGGTCCCAAACGTTACGCGAGGGTTCGTTTGGCTTGAGCAAAACATCGATAGCAACCAGACCAATAAAAACGTCCCAGCTGTCAAGGTGTCATCTCCAGAGTGGACCCGGTTTAAGTATTCTAGCTCAAGATCAGCGGTCAGGATTGCAAGGATCATAAGTGATAGCGTTAAATTAAGGTTGCCTGATGTGAGGTGGTTTGTCATGGGAGATGATGATACCGTGTATTACACTGACAACTTAGTTTCGGTGTTATCGAGGTATGATCATAATCAAATGTGGTACATTGGAGGGAATTCTGAGAGTGTGGAACAAGATGTGATTCATTCTTATGACATGGCTTTCGGTGGGGGTGGGTTTGCTCTTAGTTATCCGTTGGCTGAGAGTTTGGTCAGTATATTGGACGGTTGTCTTGATAGGTACTATTATTTCTACGGTTCTGATCAGAGGATTTGGGCTTGTATCAGTGAGATCGGCGTGCCGCTCTCTAGAGAACGTGGGTTCCATCAGGTACGTGTTTGCTTTTCAATTGATTTTTAGGCCATTTTGTTATCTTAACGGCAGAGATGATAATGTGTGCGTGAGGGATGGGGCATAGATCAACGGTCGCCAGTCCCAAGTTTTGTCCGGCAGTCGTTGAATCATTACACTGAAGGGGTTTATATGGAACAAAGTCGTCTAGTTGTAATTGACTCGGACAGTACTTTTAATTTATTAATAGGGACCATGGGCAGAGAGACATGGTGGTCCAGATAAAATGAAACCACCTGCAACTGTACGGTATCGTCCCTGTCAGAATGGGCTAGCGGGAATTACTAGGGACGGGGCAACAAGGAATTGAATCGTAATTATCTTTGATGATGATTAAATATCAGTTTGATCTGCCACCACTTGTCACTAATTAGTGAGGTTTCTCGAAATCATGTGGAAAAGGATCGGGAAAGACCAGGAAAAAAAGCCTCGGCCTTCTTGACTTGGAATATGTGATGGAAGGAGGCACCTGAACTTATAAGAATAATATCATTTTGTTAATCCTCGAAAGAGATGAAAGTGTACTTCCATGGATATTATTTACTCATACTACTGTGTGTTGTCCTTAGTATCACAGGGAAATACTAGGTGGCGCCTCCGAGGGGGTTCGGTTGTTAAAATCTGCTCTGTCCTTTTGTGCTCAGATGCCCACACACTTTCAACAAAAGAGGTGACCCTTGTTGGTCACAGTAAAAAGAGAAGTATTTTGTTCAAGAAGAAAACATTAAGGTTTCTTCGGGTGCTTAACCTAGCCATGATCTGCTATCTCTAATTGCCACGTCCATTTTCCTTTTGATTTAGAATATCAAACCCAGTGATAAAGAATTGATAGGTAGTCATTAGAGCATCGCCAAAACTCTTTTCCTTCAAAGTTTACGTCACGTGGAAGGGTCATGGTTTGGCCACTTAGCCATTGAATTATTCGCACATTTAGATTCCTTTTACTAGGTCTAATTCTTTTCAGTTAAGATTTGGACACTCCTACCTTCAAAGGGAATGCGTGGTAGATGATTGTCTGGCAGCTTTCTCAGTTAAATATGGAAGTAATTATGATGCAAGAATGGTGAATATTTAGTGCAGTAGCTTTATTTTCCTTTCTGAAAGGTGATTCAAATTTGTTGCTATTTCTTTGGACACGAGACTGCTTAACTGCTGATGAAGCTGTGTCTCCTCTGTTTGAATTGAATTATTACCGTTAATGTGAGTGATCACTAGTTACTATGTTCATTTTTGGTGCACTAATTGGTGATTTTGAAATTGAATTTTGCCTCAAGAATGAGTGGTATTTTCAGAAAAAGATTATCCCTTGCTAAGTAGTTTGAGATATGATAGAACTTTCGATGAATTTTAAAAAAAAATTGCGGGAATTTCTAATTAGAGATTTTCATTTGCTTTGGAGTTATATTGCTGAAATTCTTCGAAACAAGCTATTCCTGACAGTGATTATTTTTATTTTTTTTCGGTGGCGTGTTTTGATTTCTACAGTTTGATATTAGAGGAAGCGCATATGGCCTCCTAGCAGCACATCCTCTAGCCCCTCTCGTATCACTTCACCACCTTGACAATCTGGAGCCGCTGTTTCCAAATCACAACCGAATAGACTCTCTTAAATCCATCAACCAGGCATACCGGGTTGACCCACCCCGAATCTTTCAACAAACATTTTGCCATGACTCCAAGCGGAAATGGTCCATATCCATAGCATGGGGCTACACAGTTCAGCTGTACCCCTTATTGTTGCCAGCCAAGGACTTGCAAACACCAGAGCAGACATTCAAGACGTGGCGGAGTTGGAGCGATGGACCATTCACATTCAATACCCGACCCATGGAGCCTGACCCTTGTAAACGACCGGTTGTTTTTATGCTTGAGCAGGCCAACGAAGGGGACGCTAATGGGTCCTTGTCTAGTTACAAGAGGATCGTTCATGAACCAGGGAAGACTTGTGAGACAACAAAGTATGCCCAAGCAATGTCAGTGCAGAGAATTCTTGTATCCTCCTTGAAAATGGAGCCAGATTATTGGAAAAAGGTTGGTCTTTACATGCCTGATCATCCGCATATTCATGCTTATGGTGTTTATTTCTATTAGTGCATGTGCGTGGCTAATAATTTTATTGCAGTACCGTGAGCAGGCACCGAGAAGATATTGCTGTGAGTTAATGAATAAAGGGAGCATAAAGAACGGCAGCATGCAGCTTAGGATTAGAAGATGCAGAAATTGGGAAAGTATTACTTCTAGGTTAGACTAGCTCCTTAACATTTCAGCCGTGTAAGCATTGCCCTCTACAAAACTTGCCATACTGAGTATACAGGAAAAGAGATTGCGGTGCCGTTTGGAAGTCCATTCCGAGCAGTGTTTCTCTAAATCTTTTTTTCTTTGTTTTTTACTTAAATTAACTTTTTATATTTTTAAGTCATTTTAATATATTAATATTAAAATAAAATTATTTTAATTTATTTTAGATGCTGACATTTTCTTGCATGCGAAACCAGCCGTTCTTTTCTAATCTTTTTGCTATGATGAGAGAGAGAAGCTATCACTTCCACTGCTACAGTCCATTCCAACACTTGCGACATAATGGAATGCTCAGAGGTGAAAAGGAGGGGGGAGAAAAGGCCCCGTAAAAGCGAAAGCATCAAGATTGATGAAAGTATATGGTGGTATAGCACCATCCAGGAAATAGGTGCAAAGATTTCCTCTCAACCGCAGGACAAAATGTAAGAATTTCCACAGCAACCGGTCTTAGAAGTCACAACATGATGAATTGAAAACTTTTTCTGGCGTAGAACGATACAAAATGCTTTATGTGAGTGGATCCTCCACTCTACATGAGGCGGAAAAGGGCCAATCGGAGTTCTTTTGAATGCCACTGATATACCACGAACCACCAAAGGTACACAAGTGAAGTATGGCACTGTTGATTAGTGAAAGGAAAGCATCAAGCTGCTTTTGAATGCCACTCGGCTTTTAATGCAATTATTGGATGGGACCGTGACTCGAGATTGAGTGACCTCCGATACTGCACTGGTTTTCAAACTTGGCAGCGCCCTTTACTCCTTCAGTCTATCATTTGGAACGCTATGAACCTTGAATCCAGCGTGATTACAGAATCCTTGTCTTGGCATCAATAATGCCAACCACGATGGTGGAATCATTACATTGACAACTGTTTGATTAGGGCAACCTGATTCTCATCTATACAGATAGTTTTACCCACGGATCCCCATCATATCTTAGCTAATAGAGATTGGCACAGCAAATGAAGACCTCGTCAGACTAGGAACAAGTAAATAGCATGTGAGTTTCGGGGTAATTACAGAGAGCAAAGAAAACTAGTTGAAATTGGTGAATCCATAGACAAAGGAGAGGACGATGCTCCACAAAATATAATCACTGAAACGGGTATAGGAAGAATAACAATGGGAGACTGACAATACCAACTGAAGCGTGGAAATCTTAGTTTCTTTCATTAACCTTGTAGTATTATGTGGAGGGGGAAACAAATTTCACAAAACTAAATTGATAGAAAATTCCTTTTTCTCCATGGGTATCCTGGGACGGTGCAGTGAACCAAAGCCATGAGAAACAAAAGGAGATTTCATCGCGAACATTTGTTAAGTAGGTGGTTCCTTTTAACAATTTCATGGACAACAGTAAATGATTACACAAGCATACTTGATTTACATACTTGATTTATGGTATCCTCAATCCGGCAACGACTCCAAAAGGGTGGCAAAAGAATCCAGTTTATGATAGATGTTTGATTCATTATACAGTTGCATGTATACTTCTTATATAGATGAGAATAAAAGCAGCACTATTGATTTGATATTTTACATTACTTACAACAAGTTGATTGCAAACCTGAGCTAAAATGAAAGTTGCAGCTGTTACAGATGCACTGGTGCCGCTTCCCTGTTTTTCAGCACTTCAATGTGAAAGTAAACTAGTTGCAAAGCAATGTATCGCGTGTTGCATTTCCAGTAGTTGGATTCACCCTGATGAGAAATGGCTGTTTTTAATGTGGATCTATTCAAAATAGACAGACAATTGTATTTTACAAGCAATACGTAGGTCTTACCCATCGGCAACTTTGCACAAGTACTCACGTTGGTCCTCTCTCAAAGGCACATCTGTGAAATCTGATCACACACGAAGTCAATCAAACAACAGAAACATACCAGTTATTACACACACACTCTCCTCTATAGCACCTCCAATCTCTAAAACACATCTCAGGATGGAAGCAGAAAAACAAATTTTACAACTAGCTGTCATCACTAAAGTGTTTGGCTCCTAGAGTGATGACACAAGGCACAAATAGAATTAGCTCTGTTGCTAATGAGAAGAGTCTAATTTTTATATCATGACCTCTTCAACAGATAGATGTTCTTGACAGTAAAACCAGTGATGCAACATACCAGCTCCTGTTATATTTGATCCTCTAAAAGATGTGTTGCCGGTAGCAAGTGCACCTTCCAAGTTAGCATTGCTCAAATTTACCTGCAGAAAGTGGTGAAGTCAGAAGTAAGACATCACCAAAAGTATTTCATGAAGCAATAGAATTAAGATAAATTCTTTAAGGTTCAACAAATTATACTGGAGTGCATCAACTACTACCATGTCTGCAGGCAGGCTGTTGCTGTTAGTAAATTGAATGTGCATCTGAAAACACATTTACATAGGAAGGTACCCCAAGGAAGTTGCTGGAAAGGTAATTATATTACTAAGACAACATGGAAAAATGACTGCATTGTTGAAGTACTTCTAGTCTCGTTACTAGGCATCTAAGATAGTAGCTTTCAAAAGCTGTAAAGAATAACCACCTTTGCCACATTCGCCAAAGAGAGATCCGCACTTCTAAGGTCAGCATCTGAAAGATCAGCCCCTATATCACATGCCAAAACAGAAAAAATGAAACAAGAAACCATTATCCAGGAAGCATAAGAAGAGAACCATATTTTCTAGAACAGCTGCAACATGCATAGCTAAATTTGACAAGTTCTGAACCATAGCAACAACATCGTGTTTATCATACACCTTAAAACCAGTGTTATCTATGTGCACATTTAAGAAAAAATTATTCTTCCACCTACAATAGTACACACACATTTCAAACTGTTAGCACTAGGCGATCATCCATTTACATCAAAAATTCTCAGAAGGCATATAGATCCTCCGATCATCCATTTACATCAAAAATTCTCATATAGATCCGGAACTTCCTTCCAGCCTGTATGTATTAGAGGTTGTAAGTACCCAACAGTTTGAGTCCCATGCTAGCATCTCTCCTTAATCTGCCTCACATTGTCAATTTTATGCTACCTTCTAAGCTAGAAAAAACAGAAACTCCAATTCTAACCCCTTTGAAATGAATAAAAACACATCAACCCGTGTCAATTAAGAAGCATCTTGCTTGCATTTCAAACACACAAACATTAAGAATATATAACACACCATCCTAGTTCAAAGAACTCTGCCTACATGCACACGCCTAAACCAAAACTTCCAGTTTCATAAAGTTGAAAATTCTAATTTTCCAATTAATTAGCTTACGAAATGTGTGTCGATAACTTTTCAATCCCAGATCACAGAATCGTAAAATAGAAACAGAATACAAGGTTAAAGAACCTGTTAAATCAGAATCGAAAAAGCTAGCTCCCAGCAACTTTGCACCTTTGAAATTGGCTTGTCTTAGGATGGACTGAAACACACAACAGTTAGAAACTCAATCGCTCCATTACAAAGAAATTAACCAGCGACAAACTCACTCAAACTTTGAAAATACATATATAAAATAAAGAAAGAACGAAAGAAGAAATAGAACTAAAGCATATACCGTCTTAAAATCTTGCTTGATCAAAGTTCTGCCACTGAAATCCTTGCCAGTAAGATCCTGGCCCCTCGTAACTTCAGAACCATACGGTCCTCCTCCCTTCACACAATCCACATTGCCAGATAAATCAATAAATGAAGCAACAGTTCTATTTCTTTTTCTGGTCGCATTTAATTAAAAAAAAGATATCAACACATAAGTTCAAACACAGCAAACAGAACTAGACAAATAAAGAAACAACGAGATCCTCAGCTTTTTAACCTTGAATGCAAGAGCAGGATCAGTAAAAGAGAGAGAGACAGAGAGAAGAGCAAGCAAGCCTGTCTTTGCAAAATCTTCTAGCAGTTGCTTGTTTAGTATCAATGCCTGCTGTTGAAGAAACAACGAGTAAGTGAACTTCGCTAAAACCGAATAAAAGAAGAAGAATAAGAAGAAGAGTGAGATGTGGTGTAACTTACCTGCGGGTTGGGACAGCGAGAGCGGGAGAGGGAAAGGAAGCGTGGGATTGAGAGGGAAGGTTTGGTTAGTGAGAGAGGGGGTTTTGGTGGAATTTTGGTGCACAAAGAAACGTTAAGAAGATGAGCCATTTTCGTTTTTGATTCCTAAGGCATCCTCTGTTCTGACTTCTGATTGATATGGATAACGAGAACAATGGGATTGGATGCGAGGATTATCTTCTGGTGTGGCTACTTCCAGAAAATCGTTGTATCCTTCAGCACGACAAGTTGAATGAGCGTTTAACTATTGAAACAATCCTGGGCTGGCCCAAACACATCATTAACATGCCAGTCCCTTGAGAATCCGGCCCATTTATTTTCTATCATAGGTGAGGCCTTCTGGGCTTATCTTGGTCATAATTGTTGAAGGTATGGACTTGTGCTCACGGGCGATGCACACTCTGTTTCCCCTCGAAGGGATATAGGCCTCCCTTTGTGCCTCCTCCTCTTTTAAGTTCTTGACACAATTGAGCTTAGAATCCATGGGCATTGGTCCGAGATCTGGTAAAATTTATTTCAAAAAATCGGTTTGGATCCCGGTTCATGGAAGTCTCAAATTCATAACAGTGATTTTTTTATTTCTTGGTTAGAACAAGCATGCACAGAGGACAGAGTCGTGTGTTAGTAAAAACGAGAAAGGAACAGGATTAGTATAAGAGATTCTGAAGCAATTCTAATTCCACCCTGGTTTAGTTGGACGGGCAATTGCGAACCAGGGAAACGGCTCTGACGATTCTAAAGTGGGTCACAGGCGGAACTTTTTATTGACATGGGCCAAAAGTGAGCATCAAGCTGCGGCCTTTACTTACCACTTTGGGAACACAAAACCGAAGGGAGAAGGAAAGCTTCAAAAAGGCAACAACCACTGCTAGGACACGGGCACCGAAAAATGGATTGAATTTTACAGAGACAAGATAAGAGCAGATAGATCGATATAATTATGGGTAGCTGTGAGAAATGTATTAGACCTCCTCACCAGCGGCCAGCAGGTTGGGTCCAGATTGCAGTAGAGACGGCAGGGGCCTTGTATTTTATTTGAGTCATGTTCCAGACCTTGGCTTTCGATACCTTGTCGGGACTTGCAGACAATGACGTGTTCCCACTCGCCACCCAACTAGTTTCTTGCACTCTGCCCCACGCACCCCCACCACAGAAAATCCATTAAAATACTAGCTTGAGCTCTCCTACCCCTCGTCGCTATAACTAAATGCCTGTTTATTTCTGTATTTTATATATATTTTAAAAAAAAATTATTTTTTTATTAATTTTAAATTAATATATTTTTAATATTTTTAAATTATTTTAATATACTAACATCAAAAATAATTTTTTAAAAATAAAAAAATATTATTAATATATATTTTAATAAAAAATTATTTAAAAAATAATCACAACTATATTTTCAAACAAACCTGTATTTTATTTTATTTTACAGTAATGGAAAGGTGCTGTAGCAGTATTGTAGCTTCATCTTTTTTCTTTTTCTTTTTTTTTTTTTTGGATGTGGAGAATATTTTACAGTAATTGAGAGGGTGTTGTAGCAGTTTTGCAGCTTCCTCTTTTTTATCGACTAAAATTGAAATCCATGCTTTTTCTGATCATTGAAGTTGGTCTCTTACACTTGGAGTCTACTTCGTACTGTTTTCTATTTTGGTTTTTTATTAAAAAAACATTTTCTATGTTTATTGTTTTGTCGAGATTAATTATTTTCTTAACAAGGATGTTGAAGAAAAAATATATAGTATACATAATTAATTTAAGAATTAAGGAGTGCAATGATATACTATTAGTTACAGATATAAAAATAATAATAATAATACATTATTTAATTGATTATGTCATGACAATAATAATGAAGTATTAATCATTAATACATTGCTAAATGTATTTTACTCTATTTCACACGCATTTAAATAAATTATTTTAATGCCTACTTTACATCTTTATACTGGTTCGTATCTAAACAAAAAAATAAATAAAAAAACAAAAAAATAAAATATATCAAATTCATTCAAATTTAAAAAATATAATATAAAACTAGCAAGTCTTTAGAAAAAAGAAAAGGAAAAATAGATTTTGAATACATTTAATTTCACTCACTTTCATTATAATTAAACATTTATCTGCCTTTATTTTGACAAATTATAAAATTCAATTATTTTTTAAAAATAATAATTTCACGACCGTGATTATTAGAAAAATCCATCATTATTCATTAATTTTTTTAAAAAAATATATAACATAGGATGTCAAGTGGCATAAACATTAACCACTAACCAATGAATTAAAAAAACATGATTGGTAAATTATTTAAAGTTGAGACATTTAAATTAAATAATTTAAAATACAAACACGGAAAAAAACACACACTTGATTGGAAACAAACAAGAAAATCTGTACTCACCTAGCATGTAATCGTGACACGTATTAATTCAACAACGATTATTTTAAAATAAAACATATGAAAAAAAAATGATTGACTTGGATAACATGACTAAAAACAGAGCCACTTAAAATGAAAAAAATTTAAAAAATCAAGAATTGAAAATGTAATCAACTCTTTTTGAACAAGCCTATTTTAATTTTTGAAATTACTCACACACGGAAAAAAGAAAGTAACAATACATCCAAAAACATTTATTAATTCTTTGTCAAAAAAATATAAAACAAGACACCATATAGTGACACTAAATAACACCTTTATTTTTATTTTTATTTTTATTTTTAAAAACAGCCATTTTTATCATCCAAAAACAAATTTAGACAGACATGAAAATTTGTATATTTCACATGTAGAGTATTGGATAATCTTAATCATTTCAAATTAAATTAAAAAAAAATTATAATTAAACATTTATCTGCCTTTATTTTGACAAATTATAAAATTCAATTATTTTTTAAAAATAATAATTTCACGACCGTGATTATTAGAAAAATCCATCATTATTCATTAATTTTTTTAAAAAAATATATAACATAGGATATCAAGTGGCATAAACATTAACCACTAACCAATGAATTAAAAAAACATGATTGGTAAATTATTTAAAGTTGAGACATTTAAATTAAATAATTTAAAATACAAACACTGAAAAAAAAAAACACACTTGATTGGAAACAAACAAGAAAATCTGTACTCACCTAGCATGTAATCGTGACACGTATTAATTCAACAACGATTATTTTAAAATAAAACATATGAAAAAAAAATTGATTGACTTAGATAAAATGACTAAAAACAGAACCACTTAAAATGAAAAAAAAATTAAAAATAAAAAAAATTAAAAATCAAGAATTGAAAATGTAATCAACTCTTTTTGAACAAGCCTATTTTAATTTTTGAAATTACTCACACACAGAAAAAAGAAAGTAACAATACATCCAAAAACATTTATTAATTCTTTGTCAAAAAAATATAAAACAAGACACCATATAGTGACACTAAATAACATCTTTATTTTTATTTTTAAAAATAGCCATTTTTATCACCCAAAAACAAATTTAGACAGACATGAAAATTTGTATATTTCACATGTAGAGTATTGGATAATCTTAATCATTTCAAATTAAATTAAAAAAAATCAGCATCCTTATTGCTGTTGTCCCAATAAATCCAAATAGTTTAGAATAAGTTTTATATTTTTAATAATCAATTAATCTTTTGATTTTAATAATTTAATTAATTTTTCTTATTGAATGCAATTAGTGCCTGCCTGAACCAAAAAAAAGTTTCATTTAAAAAATTACGAGATTTTATGATACTTAAATAGATATTTTTTAAAATAAAAAATTACTACTATATTTCAGAAAAAAACTTTAAAATATAAATATATCATCAAAAATGGAGATTCATAACCTGACTCTGAGAGATATCATCATTATTTTTATAGTCAACAAGGCGTCTTTATTTTTTAAAGACAGTGAATTTATTTTTAATTTGTCGAGATAAAATATCAATGACTTGTCATAAGGTAAAATATATCATCACACGATAAAATATACTTGACTCGTCATGAAGTAAAAATATCTTTACCTCTGATCGAACCTAAAAATACTAAATTATTACCCAGTCTTTAGTTATTCTTTTGAAAAAAATACATGTAAAAACAAAAGGTATTGATGCATCACTTGTAAACTAGCAAACAACTAAAACAAAAGAATCATTTATTGTATCCCTCTCGCATTTTACTGTTTATTGCTATAGTGTAATGACTATTTTGTTATTCCCATAAAAAAATGCATGGCTTTTAGACTAGGGTTATTTTGGTATTATCACGAGATGCATTAGTCATTACTGAATATTTTGGGGTATTTATATCTGTTCAATATTTCTTGGATAGTAAAAGAACCAAAATATCCTTGAAGTGAAAAAAAAGAATAATATCAGATAGGGGTGTTTAGATATTTTTATTTTTTTTATACATATTAAAATTACACATGTATCATTAGATGCAAAACATTTAGTTCACTGTAGTCATGGGTGTCTGGTCCTTTAGCCTAATTTTTGTTGTTGATTATAAGTTTAATCGAGGGTCATAACATAATTTTTCTTTGAAATAATAATTTTTTAATTGAAAAGCCATTGACGTATTGAAACCATTGCACACTTTGCAAGACGCGGAAGATGATTTTAGATAGTAAAAAAAAATCTTTTCTGCTATTCTAAACAATTCTTTTCCATCGCCTATTTCATTATCGGTGGCGTGTGTGCTCTAAATATAGTCGGTGTATCGCCGATGATCTTTTTATTTTCTCTTTCATTTCTCTCTTACCCTGATAAACACTCCATAGTCCTTGTTGTTGTTTTTTTCTTTAAATTCCAGACTTTTTAGTTTTGAATATTGTTTCTTAATCGTTTTCTCTTTCGTTGAAGTTTTATTTTTTTTTAATTTAACCATTAGTTTAAATTTTGTATATATAAGATATCTCGATCTAATCATTCTACTTTTAATTTCTCTCTTTTTTCAATCCTTTACTCTTCTGTCATGGTTTTTATGTCTTTTGATTCTATATTTCATATACATTTTATTGTCGGTCTTTTTTTTATCAGTAACAACAATGGTTTCAATTTGGCCCCTTTTTGTTTTTTTATTGTTTTTCATGGCCCTTTTTGTCTATTTTTTTTTTGTAATTTTCAAGTGAAAATAATAATACTATTAACGATAACAACAACAAAAACAATAATTAAATTAACAATGATAACAATAACGATAGTGATGATAATAATTTTAATGATAGTGGTGATAATAATAATAACAACGGTAACAATAACAACAATAAAATTAATGGTGACACTAATAACGATGATTGTCATGGTGGTAACAATATTATTACTTTTATCATTACAAACAACAATAAGAATAATGATAACAACGCGAAAGAGAATGAGAATAGAAATAATAATAGTAGCGACAATAGTAAAACTACTAATAATAACTGTTGTGATGATAGTGACAATGACAATAATAACAACAATGATAATGATCATGATAATTGTTGTTATAACAACAACAACAACAACAATGATGACGATATTATTACTAACAATAACAATGCTACTAATAACCATGGTGGTGGTGATGATGATAATAATAGTAATGATATTATGTATTAATATTAGTTTTGATAGTGATTTGGATCCTTATTTCATGCATCATTATTTTTTAAAATCCTCTTGTATGATTATAATATTTATTTTTTAATTTTATTATTTAATATTTAATTTATTAAAAAATTATTTTTTTATTATTTGATACTTTAAGTTCAATGACACAGGTCATGATTTTTAAAAAGTTAACATATTTTTTTTAAAAGGTTCTATAATTTTATTTTTATTTTCAATCTAATTATTTTAATTATATAATTTAGACCATGAGCTTGATGGGATATTCTATACTTACTTGACTTTAATTAGTATTTTTATATATTTGCCAAGAACAATTTTTTTTATATATTTTTACTAATTTTCAGTAACTAAATATTAGTTTTTGTTTTAAAAAGAGTCCAGGAGCTCAGTATATTCTATAAATGTAAAGGTTAAATCAAGTTGCTGCGTATGCCATAAATATCCATGCGTTATGAATGCATTTTTTTTTAAAATAAAAAAATCATAAATCTACATTCTATTAACACATCCACATCTACCTTTTTTATTTTACTGCATGATATCAAAATTGCCCTTAAGAGGCTGGCTCGAGTGACAAGGAAAATACTCGCTGAGTTCTCAAGTTCGATCGAATCTTTTCAGATGCACTTGTAAGAAAAACGTGTAATTTTTTTTTTCACAGCTAATCCTGTAATTTTTTTTTTTTTTTTTTTTTCACAGCTAAGCCTGTGATTAGTCTATCCATATCTTATTTTATGAAAAACATTATCCAAACCAATAAAAATATCTATAAAAAAATATATTACATGACTATAATTTTTTTTAAAAAACATATCCAATATAACCATAGCTCTCAAATACAGAAAAAAAGAGACATGGTTTAAAGAATTACCTGAAAATACAGGAATGGTTGTAATTAAAAATATTTTTTATTTAAAAATATATTAAAAGATAAAATTATTTTTGATATTAGTATATAAAAAATATAAAAATATAAAAAGAATTTAATTTTAAATAAAAAAATTTATTTATTTTTAAATGATTTCGACCGAGTATCGAGAAGGGGAAAAGGAACAGAAGAATCAAAGTTTTCACATAATGGTACATTGGTAATTTACCAAGAAAATCCGTAATTATTGACTAGTGTCATGCTAGGTCATTGGTCCAGCTTTTATGGCAAGTAGTGGGTGGGCGTAGAGCATAAAAAGCTATTGAGTGAGAAGCTTGAAACTTGCAGTTCACAAAACCAAAAAAAGAAAAAATAACAGGGAGACAAGAAAAAACCAGGCTCTGCAAACCGCTATAGGATGTAGTGATACGCACTACACGAAACCTTATCGTACGCCTATGTGCTTTTTATCGTACACCCACATCACTGAACTGGTATAGCAGCAGGCAGCGTCAACTTCTAAAATTTGGAGGACCCCCTGTTAGGCTGTAACAGAAACTCTCTGGGCTCGCCCTACTAAGCTGACTCCCGTGTACTTTCAGCGTTGTAAAGTTGTTCTTTCCTTGACCAAACAACTTTGCACCTATATAGGAGTACTCACGTATTCATGAAAGAGGCTAGGTGAGTTTCTTTTATATTGGTGTTTCCTCTTCAAGGTCTTTTTAATGGGAAAGTTGAGAATTTTTTGCATGTTTGGCTTCAGATCTTAATGAGTTGCTGGGTTTAGAGGAGTGGGTTTCTGTTATCTACGTTGGTTGATCTGGTTTTTTATCAATCTGGAGGCTAATCTTTAGGGTTTTTGATTCTCGCAAAAAAAAAAAAAAAAAAAGTTGCAGTACAAATAAGCTATCTTTAGCTTATTGTCTCTTGGATTTCTTTTTTGTTCAAAAGTTTAGGCTTTTTTGGTTCTATCAAGAATCAAACATGGCAAATCGCTGGTGGGCTGGAAATGTTGCCATGAGAGGTGTAGATCCGGTATCTCCATCTTCATCTCTTCACTTGAGAAATCTTGAAGATGACAGCACTCCTCCCGGTCTGAACCGGTTGGGTCCAAGAAGAGAACAGGATTTCACTGACACCAACACCAGTAGCCCTAAAACAACCACCACCGCCACACCACCCAGTACTCAAAACCAAGAGGAACATGAAGATAGCAGAGACAACACCAACAACCAAGAATCTGGCGACCACACTGCTCTCGAAACCATTGAACCAGGCAGTGGTAGCACATCTCGCAGGCCTAGAGGCCGACCTGCTGGTTCAAAGAACAAACCAAAACCTCCCATTGTCATCACCAAAGAAAGCCCTAATTCTCTCCACAGCCATGTCATGGAAATCAGCTCCGGCAGTGACATCGTGGAGAGCATTGCCACTTTCTCTCATCGCCGCCATCGAGGTGTTTCTATCCTTAGCGGCAGTGGTATTGTGAACAATGTTACTCTCAGGCAGCCCGCAGCACCCGGTGGGGTTATCACTCTTCATGGAAGATTCGAGATTTTGTCACTGTCGGGTTCGTTTCTCCCTGCCCCATCGCCTCCAGGAGCAACGGGGCTGACTGTTTATTTGGCAGGCGGACAAGGACAGGTGGTGGGAGGTACTGTGATGGGGGAGCTGATAGCAGCAGGGCCGGTGATGGTGATTGCAGCAACGTTCAGTAATGCGACTTATGAAAGGTTGCCACTTGAGGAGCAAGAGCAAGAAGGGATGCAATTGCAACAGCAAGTGAATTCACCAGGGACTAATAATGGCAATGCTGCTGCAGGTGGTGGTGCCAGTAGCGGTGGCGGTAATAATTCAGCGACTCAATCTTCTCAGGGTTTAGGTGAGCATGTTTCAATCCCTGGGTACAATTTGCCTCCTAATTTGTTACCCAATGGACAAGTGCCACATGATATGTTTTGGTGTCCCCCTCCCCGCCCTCCCCCCTCTTACTAAGAATGTGCTTGAGAGAAAGAGAAGAGTTGTTAGTTTGGATTAGCTGACTCACGTGCAAAATACTTTAGACAGTTTCATGTAAGCACAGCGAAGAAGGTAGGACATTTTGGATTAGTTTTTGTGTAAACTAGCTGGTTCTAATCGTCAGGTTTTGCGATGTTGTTGAAACGCGTTGATGTAATGATCTGTTTGCTTTTCTCTAATCATCCTTTTGTGGAAGAATATTTTATTTTTTGATGATGTAGGGAGAGAAGAAATATACCAGTCAGGAACTGGGATTGGTGCTAATTAATGGAAATTTGTGGATGAGATCTTGGAACCTTTTTTATTTTCTTAGGTAAGCATGCCAAGCATATTCTGGTATGTTATCTTATGCCTCGTTTGGTTTTATTCTCATCGGAATGATTATAATTTTGTGAAAACATTGTTTGAGAAATGTGAGATTTGGGAAAATTTTGGAAGTAGTCAGCTTCCATCAATGTGATGGTTGATTTTTTTTCCTTTGACTATGAAATGTGGGGTTTGATTCATCTGCACCTGCATTAGAATCGGTCGTTTCATATTCCAAGTTGGTCGAACTTTTGAAAGGCGTGGAATTTTACATCATTAGTGCACGTTGGGACAGTTGATCCCAAGTTGAGCTGATCATTTGAATGACTCTATTTGACACGAGGGGCTATTCCTGGCCAAATGTGGCAAATGGTTTCCAATCTCATCTAGCATGTAGCAGCTTCCAGTAAACTATTACTGGTATGTAAATGTCTAGGTTTCAATAACCACATGTACCCAATTATGTGTGTGTATATAGGGTACTGTCCAAGTTCAGAAAGTCCAGATATGAAGTACTAGTTTGTAACTCTTATGCATGCATGGTGAAACATGTTTTTGCTAATCAATAAGAAACTTGGGTAAGTTTGCGACGAGCTTACCGTTGTCTGGGTATGTTCGATCTATAGCAATCTTTGCTTCATTGCTCGACAGTCTAGTAAGTTCTAATTAGAAAAAGAAGTTCAGCGAGGATTGCCATAGAGCGAATCTATTTCAGTATGTCTCATCTTTTGTTTTAGTAACTTGATTCAGTTTGATTTCTTTCTCGTCTTTTCTTGTCTTGTACAATCATGCAATCAATTTATATAATGCCCTCAAGTTGTGGATGAGCTTTACAGCTAGAAAAATAATTAAATGCACGTGCTTTCTAACATATATTATTGTAAGTTGAAGATTGAAGAAGCCAATTGCATTCCGATGATTATAGCTAGCGATAACTAGAGCTCTGTGTGATCTTGCGGGCATGATTTTCTTTTAAATTTGTTAATTCTGTTAATTATTGAGCTCCAAAATAATAATTTGTTTGCAATGAAAGATTAGAACCGAGACCGCGCGTGTCGTTATCTTACTTGGGTATGATAAGATGTTGGTTATTGCTAGTTGGGTAAGCTGCCGTGAGGATTTTGAAAGATTTTTGTCCATTTTACACCATTTTAGTCAAAGGTGGTTGATGTAATCTTGAGGACAAGTTTTCAATGTGGTTAGATAGACGTTGAAGAATTATGAACAGGTATGGGCTAGCTATTTGTGTGCATGCGACATTAACGCAAGTAGGGAAGACCTTAACTTTCTATGGATGGGGGTGAAAGCATGGTCGACTATGCAGGTGGCTCATATATCAAAGGGAAGAATGCCATTTTTCCAAGAATTCCAATCATAGAATACCAGATAGAAGGATTGCTTTTCTGATTCAATTAGAAATGCAAAATTGTGGATCTCGGTGACCAACTGGAAAGGTTTCTTGTATTGACAATTCCAGCGGGCAGATGTAGATTTATTGCGAGTGCAAGTGGCGAGTGTCAAAGAAGAATACTATGTAACTGCACGACGACTGGTCATTGATTTTGTTTGGAGAAAACGAGCCATTTTCCATGACCACTTAATTTGCCCAAGTCAGTTGTTAACAGCTGGATTAAGTGATGTGATTTGAGTGCTATTCCAGGAAAAATTGAAATGCCTCATGAATTTTCTTTATCTCATTGTGCAGCTGCTGTTTGATTTGTGTGCGGGTGCGGGTGTGGGTGTGCTTTGCAATATCTTGGTCTCATATGAACTACGTTTAATTTCTTGAATCTGTCTCTGTTGCCTTCGCTACTGATCCAGAAAAAAACCAGCACGTTGTGCCATTTATAACGCTTAAGAATGTTTTAGACTCCGACTCTCACTACCGAAACTCATTTGATTTGGACTCGAACTCGAACATGGGTTTCTTCCATCATTTCAAGTGCACATAATTTTGAATGCATGCACATGTAGGCTCAAATCTTCGTGTGTTTCAGATTGAACTAGGATGTTATTACAAGTTACAGGCTATTTGTCATGTCGGTTTGTTTGCCCTCGATGTGTCATTGACTTCGTCTGTTCGGGCACCATGCTGTATAGGTGAACCATAATAAGCATTAATTGAATGTTGACGTCTGGAAGTGGAGACTCTGCACACTACTTTGGACGTTAGTGGTAGCTTGCATTCAAGTGGTGGTGTCTTGGCCAAAACCTGCCGCCTTGACATTTCGCTAATGCTATGGTTCCCGTTCGTCAACTTTTGATGGCCTCGTTGAATGTTTCATGGCACGTTTGAAATCACTGGAATTAAATTTAATTTCAAGTGATAAATTAATTCATGTTTTTTTAAATTTAATTTCAAGTGTTAAATCAATGTATGTGTTTAGAATTCTTTTTAAAAGTATTGATTTAAATTCGAGATCATGAAAAATAGACCAGCAAATCAGAGGATAGTAATTTCAAATCAAAGAGTTTTTTTAAAAGTACCCTCTTTATTTTTTCTTACAAAAACCCTTTATCTTTAATGCCTCGTTTTCTTCCTCAGCAAAAGCATTGGATAAAGAAACGAACATTGATGAAATTTTTATTCAGGCAGATAATCTTTGAATAGATATGTTAGGGGTCTTGTCTGCAGGGATTTTCTCTATTATTGGCAATGGATTTAAGAGCTCTTGGACCCAACAATGGATCTCCAGATATGACATTGACGATGAACTTACCCTTCGGCCAGACCTCCACTGATCATCAATCCCCGTTTACAAGCACCTCTGTACGTTGATGGGGAACCACGATTTTCAACAAAGAATGATGCGTGGGGTGTAAGGATTCATTTTCAATTAACTATAGGTTTATTATACATCTGCACCCACAATTTAACTGATAGCTTGTGATGTAGCAGGCTTATTACACATTTTTCACTTCAGTTCTCATCCTTCTCAGATCAACAAGTGAAGAAAAAAACCACCATATTTGCAGACCATATTGCAATATGCAATTTGATACGAAGAGGCACAAGGGCAGGGTCATTATTATGACAAATATTTTGGTCTGATGAAAGAGCTTGGGATCAAGAGGGAATTGAGAGAAGCTGCAGTCATTTCTATTTGTGTGCTCTAAACAAGCAAGCGTGGAGACAGACACTTGAGGACTGCAGCAATCAATATGAGCACTTGGTGGCACCAAAAACAAAATTAATTTCGGCATCCAGACAAATTCAATTCCAAATAGAAGGAAATCCAACTCAAAATAGATGAAATTGTATCTCAATCCAACTCGTAAATGCATCATGATTTATCATAAAATAATTATGGATTTTATTTTCACATTAACAAAGAAAATATTTTATGATTTAGGATAGAATAGTTGAGATTGCTAATCAAATTTAATTATATGACTTGATATTTTATTCCAAGCATAAAAATTATAGTATATTATTAATTAATTTCAAATCTTATGTGTAATTAAATTAAGTGAATTTGAGTTTAAATAGATGATTAGCAACTCCAATTGCAAGATGTTGCAGTAAAATCAATTATCGTGAACTAGAATCCATTTTGTTCGAGGATTGAACTAGAAAAATTTCTCTAGAAAATATAGATTTTTTTAATTTTGTATTATTTGATTAATCTAGATCTTTGATGTTTTCTACTTTTTGATTAAAGAAGTGTTTAGTTTAGAGATGTAGTTAGCTTGTTTTAATAAGATCTATATAAAAACTATGTATTTTTTATTTCTATAAGATGTGATTTATGTTTTAAGAGAATTGTATCTTTTAAAAAAATAATCACACTTTTAAACTAAACACATATTTAATGATCAAAGGAAGGGTTGGAATCAAGTCTAATCCCTTTACTTTCAACATTCTTCAAGGTGAACCGCTTCCTTGTAATTTACATGTAATTCATGATTAAATTAATTTTAGAGTATATTTAAAAGTATGGTAAATATTATTTTTTATAGTATTTTTTATTTTAGAATATATTAAAATAATATTTTAAAAAACATTTTAATACAAATACATCAATACAACGTAAAAACACAACAAAAAAATAATAAAAAATAATTTTTTAAATAATTTTAAAATATAAAAATAAAACCAGATATTAATCACATCATACCCGTTGGAGTGTTCCAAATTGCAAAGCTTCTGGTCAAGGTCATGTTAACATTGATTAGTGTTTTTTGGTCGGCAGAGATTGTGATGCGGCTGATTGGGATGAGTTTTCTATATATTCATGTCTAACCTGGTACGTCTATAATATCTTTTGGCGAGACTTTACTTTGCCATTTTTTATATTAAAAAACAATTCTCTCTTCTGTTTTTTTTTTTTATATATATATATATAATTGTTTAACATAATCGTTGTATTAACATGGAAATTGAAGGAAAAATAATGTGTTTGGTACAATAGTGTAAATGATTCGAGGTTGAAGGGTTGATTGATTAAAAACATTGTTGTTTATGGGGTAATTAAATATTTTTAAAAAGTTTTAAATATTTTTTTAATAGTTTTATTGTGTTAATGTTACAAATAAATTTTATTAAAAAAATAAAATTTTAATAATTTTTTTTAAAATACTTAAAAAATAAACATTATTAAAATTGTAAACAATGCCAAAAAAAAAATTAAACTATTTCCTTGTAGCTCTCATACAAAATTGGATTCTGTAGTTTTGAGTTTTAACATAAATGGGATTTGCGCATGAGAAAATAGGCTCTCCACACCCTCGCAAACGGCGCTCGCCGTTGAAAAAAGAAGTGATACGTGGCGTAAAAGGAGCGTGCCATTCACCGGACAAAAGGAAAACCCCTGTCGTCCGGCTTTGCTGGATTTGTCTCTCCACCATGATATCAACTCGTACGTGTATCCTAAACTCTACCAAGTATCTTATGTTATTTAGGCCGTTATTAAATCTTTCAAAGTTTTCGGATCATATTATAAAAATATATGGGATTTACAACAGCATTTAATAAAACCTTACAATTAATCGAATCAATCATAAATCAGGGTTTAATTGAAAATCCCAACCAAGATATTTAAATAAGTTTTTATATAAAAAATAATGAATAATCGAAACAATTATTAGGATTTCAAATCAAATTAAGAAAATGGCTCCCCATATTCTTATAATTTAGGTATCGTGTCCAGTATAATTTTTTATGTTTAATTACATCTAATTTATTTTAAAAATATTTCCAAATAAATACACAACTACATGCCTCTAAACAAATGATTCTTTTTTACAGCGACAGTTAAAAAAAGAAAGTTTAAAGGTTGAAAGGAAAAGGAATATCCATGGCAAGAAAGCCTGACGACATTAAACAAAAAAAAAATAAAAAAACAAAAAAACTGACTCAGGTGAGTTAGATTAACAAGGGGGAGGGTAAGATTGTCATTAGAGCGAAAATCAATAGGCTACGGACTCTTATGCATATCAATATCCATTATTATGCAAGGGGCGGAACGGTGAACGAATATTAATAGCACAAATTTCGTCATAGAAAATAGACGCTCTCTTACTTTACTCTAAGCGTAGGGTTTTACGCGCACACAAAACCCTAACCACACCAGTATAGCGTTGCTCCAGGTTAACCTTTTTTTCTTTTAATGCTATGTTGTCTCTCATGTTTTGACAATCATTTATTTCATAAATTGCCTCTATTTTTTATGTAGTTATTTTTTTGTTTGTTTTTGTTTCTGTTATGATTATTGAATTAGTATAAGTGCAGTAGAATGGCGGGTGCTCGAGAAATTACTGCAGCAACAGAATTCTTGCGTGTGAGTTCTTTTTCTATATGATAACTTCTTTTTTTTTGTTATGAAGGATAAAATTTTCATTTTTATCTTTCTCATTCCTGTTCTTATAGGATTCAGTTTCTTGTTAATTCTGCTAGAAACCCACTTCTTCTTCTTTCTTGTGCTATGTGATTGGTTTTGTGATTCGTGCTCTTTCTGTAATTCTATTACAGGGCACTCATAGGCAGTCTCTGTTTGTACACGGAGACTTGCCTATTAATCGACGAAACCAGTTGCTGTGGGGGACGCTTCGTAATCATAAGATTGCATTTGGTGTATCTAATAAAAGGGGTGTTTCGTTGAGATGTCGTGCTCAATCAAAGCCTAGAGCTTTCATTTCCGGGGCTGGGACAAGTTCTGTTGATGAGCAATCAAGTTTTATTGAAAAGCCTGTGCAAGAACTAATTCATTTCTATCGCATTCCATTGATTCAAGAGAGTGCAACTCTTGAATTACTTAAGTCTGCTCAAACGAAAGTTTCTAACAAGATTGTTGGTTTACAAACTGAGCAGTGTTTTAATATCGGTATTCAGTCTGGGGTCTCGAGCCAGAAGCTTGGGTGTCTTAGGTGGCTTCTCCAAGAAACTTATGAGCCAGAGAATTTGGGGATTGAAAGCTTTCTTGAGAAGAAGACGAAGGAAGGAGTGAATGCTGTGATAGTTGAGGTGGGGCCTAGATTGTCTTTTACCACAGCTTGGTCTGCTAATGCTGTATCAATTTGCCGTGCTTGTGGGTTGACAGAGGTGACTAGACTGGAACGGTCGAGAAGGTACTTGTTGTACAGCAAAGGCGTGTTGCCAGATTATCAAATCAATGAGTTTGCTGCAATGGTTCATGATCGGATGACTGAGGGTGTTTATACTCAGAAGCTTACATCTTTTGAAACCAGTGTAGTTCCAGAGGAAGTTCGACATGTTCCTGTTATGGAGAGGGGGAGAAAAGCGTTGGAGGAGATCAATCAGGAGATGGGGCTTGCTTTTGATGAGCAAGATTTACAATATTATACTAGGTTGTTCAGGGAGGACATCAAGCGGAATCCGACAACCGTGGAATTGTTTGACATTGCACAATCTAATAGCGAGCACAGCAGGCACTGGTTTTTCACTGGGAAGATTGTTATAGATGGACAGCCCATGGATAGAACTCTTATGCAAATCGTAAAGAGCACTTTGCAGGTGAATCCAAATAATTCTGTCATTGGTTTCAAGGACAACTCGAGTGCAATCAAAGGCTTCCCTGTAAAGCAATTGCGGCCAGTTCAGCCTGGCTTGACATGCCCCTTAAATGTAACTGACCGTGACCTTGATATCTTATTTACAGCTGAAACTCATAATTTCCCATGTGCAGTGGCACCTTACCCCGGGGCAGAGACCGGTGCAGGGGGTCGAATCAGGGATACCCATGCAACTGGTAGGGGGTCATTTGTTGTTGCATCTACAGCTGGTTACTGTGTTGGGAATCTGAACATCGAGGGGTCTTATGCCCCATGGGAAGATAATTCTTTTGCATACCCATCAAACTTGGCATCGCCTTTGCAGATTCTTATTGATGCCAGCAATGGCGCATCAGATTATGGAAACAAATTTGGGGAGCCCTTGATTCAGGGCTACACTAGAACTTTCGGGATGCGACTTCCTAGTGGGGAGAGGCGGGAATGGTTGAAGCCAATTATGTTCAGTGGAGGCATTGGGCAAATTGATCACACCCACATAACGAAAGGGGAACCTGATATTGGCATGCTGGTTGTAAAGATTGGAGGTCCTGCTTATCGAATTGGAATGGGAGGTGGGGCCGCATCAAGCATGGTGAGTGGCCAGAATGATGCAGATCTTGACTTTAATGCTGTACAGCGTGGAGATGCTGAGATGGCACAGAAACTGTATCGTGTTGTTCGTTCCTGCATCGAGATGGGTGAGGATAATCCAATCATCAGTATCCATGATCAGGGAGCTGGTGGTAACTGTAATGTTGTTAAGGAAATTATATATCCAAAGGGTGCTCAAATTGACATCAGGGCAATTGTTATTGGTGATCACACAATGTCTGTTTTGGAGATTTGGGGCGCAGAGTATCAGGAGCAAGATGCAATTTTGGTGAAGGCTGAAAGCCGTGACCTCTTACAATCAATCTGCAAAAGGGAAAGGGTGTCGATGGCTGTTATTGGAACAATTAGTGGTGAGGGACGTGTTGTTTTGGTTGATAGTTCAGCTATTGAGAAATGTCGTGCAAATGGACTCCCTCCTCCTCCTCCTGCTGTGGATCTTGAGCTTGAGAAAGTTCTTGGAGACATGCCTCAGAAAAGTTTTGAGTTTAATCGGGTGGTTCCAGCACGAGAGCCACTTGATATTGCTCCAGGGATCACTGTGATGGATGCTTTAAAGAGAGTATTAAGACTTCCATCTGTATGTTCGAAACGTTTCCTGACAACAAAAGTGGATAGGTGTGTCACAGGTCTTGTAGCACAACAGCAAACTGTTGGTCCTTTGCAAATTACACTTGCTGATGTTGCTGTCATTGCACAGACTTACACTAACTTGACTGGAGGTGCCTGTGCCATTGGGGAACAACCTATCAAAGGTCTGGTTAATCCGAAGGCAATGGCCAGACTGGCTGTTGGAGAAGCTCTCACTAATCTGGTTTGGGCAAAGGTTACTTGTCTTTCTGATGTCAAGGCAAGTGGGAATTGGATGTACGCTGCCAAGCTGGATGGGGAAGGAGCTGACATGTATGATGCTGCCACAGCTCTTTCAGAAGCTATGATTGAACTTGGCATTGCTATTGATGGGGGCAAGGACAGTCTTTCCATGGCAGCCCATGCAGGTGGTGAGGTTGTTAAGGCCCCGGGAAATCTTGTCATCAGTGCATATGTCACTTGCCCTGACATAACAAAAACAGTAACCCCTGATCTGAAGCTAGGAGATGAGGGTGTACTGCTTCACATTGATTTGGCCAATGGAAAGAGGCGGCTGGGTGGATCTGCACTTGCTCAGGCTTTTGGTCAAGTTGGTGATGACTGCCCAGACCTAGACGATGTTTCTTACCTGAAAAAAACTTTTGAGTGTGTCCAGGATCTTATTTCAGATGAAATAATCTCTTCTGGCCATGATATTAGTGATGGTGGGCTACTTGTCTGTGCCCTGGAGATGGCATTTGCTGGGAATTATGGTATTCTTTTGGACTTGACTTCGAAAAGGGAGAGCCACTTTGAAACACTCTTTGCAGAAGAGCTTGGTCTTGTTCTTGAAGTTAGCAGAAAGAACTTGGATATTGTAATGCAAAAGCTCTACAGTGCTGGGGTTTCTGCCGAGATCATTGGACAAGTGACTGCCTCACCCTTGATAGAATTGAAAGTTGATGGGGTAACTTGCTTGAAGGAGGAAACCTCTTTCCTTAGAGACACTTGGGAGGAAACCAGTTTCCATCTGGAGAAGTTTCAAAGATTAGCTTCTTGTGTGGACTTAGAGAAGGAAGGTTTGAAGTCTAGGCATGAACCTACCTGGAGAATGTCCTTCACTCCTTCTTTTACAGATGAGAAATATATGGTTGCAACTTTGAAACCAAAAGTAGCTGTCATTCGAGAGGAAGGTAGCAATGGAGATAGAGAGATGTCTGCAGCTTTTTATGCTGCTGGTTTTGAACCCTGGGATCTTACAATGTCAGACCTTCTGAATGGAGTTATCTCTCTATGTGATTTCCGTGGTATTGTGTTTGTGGGTGGCTTTAGCTATGCCGACGTGCTTGATTCTGCAAAAGGCTGGTCTGCTTCCATACGATTTAACGAGCCTCTTTTGAATCAATTTCAAGAGTTTTATAGGCGGCCTGATACTTTTAGTCTTGGTGTTTGCAATGGGTGTCAGCTCATGGCTCTATTGGGGTGGGTCCCAGGCCCCCAAGTTGGGGGTGTGTTTGGTGCTGGAGGGGACCCAGCACAACCAAGGTTTGTTCACAATGAATCTGGTCGGTTTGAATGCCGCTTTACAAGTGTGACAATAGAGGACTCGCCTGCTATCATGTTCAAAGGAATGGAGGGCAGCACATTGGGTGTATGGGCTGCTCATGGTGAGGGAAGAGCATATTTTCCTGATGATGGCGTTCTTGATCGAGTGATTCATTCAAACTTGGCCCCAGTAAGATATTGTGATGATGATGGGAATCCAACAGAAGTTTACCCTTTCAATGTCAATGGCTCTCCTTTAGGAGTCGCAGCAATTTGTTCTCCTGATGGGAGGCATCTTGCAATGATGCCTCATCCTGAGCGTTGCTTCTTGATGTGGCAGTTCCCTTGGTACCCCACACAGTGGAATGTGGACAAGAAAGGCCCTAGCCCATGGTTAAGGATGTTCCAGAATGCCAGAGAATGGTGCTCTTGAGACAGGTTATTGTCTTTCACAAACGTTCTTGTCATGGTTTTGCTTTAATTGCATGCTGATACTCTATTTTTCTGTTTCAGACCTCTAATGAGGATGGTTTCATTGTTAATTAAGGCTCGTAGAGCATTTTGAAGTCAGGTGTTGGATTTGCTTCTCTGATCAAATCCAAGTATCTCCAAGGTTTCAAACTTTTTCTTCAATTTTATCTGCCAACTTTGTTCAAATCTAAGTATCTACGAGGTTTCAAACTTTTTCCTCAGTTTTATCTGCCAAAACTACACAGAAGTTTGAGTGGATGTGGGGTTCACAGGTTTTTTGGTTTCATGTTGTTCCCTTAACTATGTTCTGACTTCCATCCCTTTGTATTGTTGTTACAGTACTAAATGAGCAATGCATGAAGAATTTTTACTATTAATGGAAATTTTATTTTTTTGGCCATCCTTTGTGATGGATGAGTGGCATAAAGAACCGAGGTTATCTCCTTACAATGACCGTTCCATTCATTATGCTGATGTCCAGATGAAGAGGTTCCTATTTAGCCAGCATGGAATGAACTATTTCAGTCGTGCAATCCATGAATCATTTTTATTGAAAACCAAGTTGTTAATCTAAGCAACTGTCTTGCAGGGTAGACAGGATAATGTGGCTTGTGAAATTGAATGAATTTTATGTTCATTGAATCGGTCAATTCAGGATAACCTCCCTAGTTAATTACTGTCTTGAAGGATTATGTGGTTTTCCATGTCATGGGCAAACATTGTCTCTGTTGCAATGCATTGACCCTACGTATTTTGTGGTAAATATTTTATGTTATCTTTTACAAATGACATCTATGTTTCAGTAGACAACTGTTTAGTAGAACACAGTAACGAGATGGTGGCTATTGTGAGTATTGTGAGTATTGTCAAACTTGATGAGCCAACCAACTTAGGTTTACTTTGTGTATTTGTTTATACTTTGCTGTTTGCTCCACACATTTAATGCCCCCGTTCAAGTTTTGTTTATTCACCCACATGCATAACCAAAAAAAGAAAAGAAAAGAAAAAGCTTTACCGAGTTATTAGCTGAAGCCTAAAGGTCATTTAAAATTTGAGGTCACAGTTTCCCAAGAGAGAAGATATATATTTAGAGCTGAATCCCTTATCTTCATTTTTAAATTGGCTGTATTTTTGTCAAAACAGGAGTGCTTCCACTAACTGCACATAGTGTTGTTAAATAACTTGCTGTTGTTGTATCCCTATCAGTATCACTTTTTGGAGGCTTAGTTGTTGTTGAATCACAGCATCACTTTTGCATGTCGTTGCTGTGAAGATTTATGTCCAGATGACCTTGTGCCAAAACATTTTACTCAAGCTATCTTGAGCATGCTGAGAATTTGCTATTATAACATGGTATCATATAAAACCATGTAGCTCTGCATCTGCCTGCCTGTCTATCTGTATGTCGTCTTTCTGTCTATTATTATATGCTTAGGTACCTTATCTGGTTCTGCACTAGTTTCATCATCCTATGCTTAGGTACCTTATCTGGTTCTGCAGTAGTTTCATCAACTTTTTACTGATGTAATTAGTCTGATAGTAAAGGGTGCCAATGTGTGGGAACTCGTTTTGGAATACAAAGATGCGCTGCTGAATGATGAAAGTAGAATACCCCTATGCTTTTATCTTTAAAATCACAATTGTGATAAAATTACAAAATGGGAGTCGAAAATTTGTTCCCAGATGCAGCCAGAAAAGTTCTTTATGTTATTCAAGCTCGCATTTGTTAAGGAAGCCTTAATCAATTCTAGCTTGGACCTCTTGTGGTGTTGCTGTTATTGACAAATCACGGGCAATGTGCAGAGGCCCCTCCATTTGTTCCTTCCACAACTCTCTAGAATAATTTGGGTTCAGACCTGCTAAATAGTGGACTTAACGAAATTTCACACTGTAAAGTGCACTGTTTTCTTTTCGGCTGTACATTGGAGTGGAAGATTCTGCCAAACTTGAGCGTTTTAGAAAATCAAAATTTGCTGTTTATGCTGTGGGACGATGCTTGAGGCTCAATGCCCTCTCTGTGCAAGGAGTTCCAGCCACTTCTAGGTTTGAATATGAAGGCAGTCATCCTTGCAGAAAGTGGATAGAGAAGTATTCATCTTAAAGTTATGTTGTTATTCTAGCATGGGCGTTTCCCCTGTTAATTTTAACAATGAAGTTATAATACTCTTGGAATTCGATCATCTATATGTACATATAAATTACTTATAAATGGTTATGATCTTTTTTATATGCAGTCATTAATCCTGCAATTTGTTAATGAGATAGTGAGGTGATGTTTAATGGTGTCAGAGCTTGATCTGCATTTGTACAAATTGCATATGAGAAGGAGCTCAATAATTCTGCGCAACAGCATGCGTGGAGCACAAGGGGTATTCCCCAACATAAGATGATAGACAAACCGGTCCTAAAGAGCAAACTGTGGTTGTTGCTACAAGTCGGAATCTACTCGTAGTTGCATCAGTTCAATCTTATGCTTGGAAAGGCACTGCATATGTGAAGCCTTCTCTCTAGATGGTACTTCTATGTGTTTAATGTGGATGCATTTTCATTGGATTGAGCACACCATGTTATATATTCCTAGCATAATCGTGTTTAGTACATTTTAAAAGGCACATGTTTTTCTTGGCTACTTACTGAATGATCTATTTTGACATGCAGAATGTAAATAATTTTCCAGATAGATTGGGTTTTCTTTTAATCTGAAATATATTTTCATGACCATGAGACCTGATTGCAAAGTGCCTAATCAGTCTGGTTTGGGTTCTGAGGAATTCATTTGAAGTTCCTCGCATTTGTGGTATTGAAAAAAGTTATCTATTGAATACTTTGAATCACTTGATGGCCCTATGATTCATGACTGGTGGTGTTGCCAACCGCAAGGGATATTGTCATTGCAACTGTTGAGAGAATTTTCTGGATGTGTCTTATCTATATGATTGCTTGCGGGAGTGAGGTTAGATATTTTGAGGTGACTGGAACTGCTCATTTGGAAGCTCATACCTTGACCTTGAAATCGTTGTAATCTACACAACTGAAATTACAAAGATGCGAACACAAAATTTTCCTTGTTGATGCATGAAACATCTGTTGCACAATCCCTGACTTGCCATTAACATTTTCGCCTAGAGTTGGGATCTTCTCATATGATGATGTTTCCGCTGTCCGGCCATGAACAATATGCGAAGATCTCTTTGTCAACTTCCTCGAGGAGTCTCTCTAAAGGACGTGGGTGAGAGTTGCAAAAAATGTCATGGTCTTCCCATCCATATAAAGGAGGAAGAGGCATGCTCATCTGGCCATCAAAAGTTTGGTTCCCAGTTGTATATCCTGAATGGTTTAGCTGTGCAGACTGTGGATTCTGGTAATATTGTGTGTTCATGGCATCTTGTTGGAAGGAAAACAGCATCTCACAGTTCGTGTTTGAAATTGTTGGCGAACTTCCAAAACCGGCGACACCAACTGGGAGACTAGCCATCTGGTTCTCAAGGATTTCTATCTCCTCTTGTAAGCTGGCAACCTGCAATACAAGGTAAACAATGTAAGAGACTCGTGTTTTCGGCTAGAACTCGTTTATATTCTAGGTGATTGGTAAAGTGCTCGGGCACATGGAGAAACAATTTAGACACCTGTTGTTGCAGTGCGAAGATATGAGCAACGCAGCCATATATAGGATCTCGCATCCTAGCCAGTGCTTCATAAGATATGGTGATAGCAGCATCGCCTCGATTGTGTACTGGTAGGTGTAATAATAGCTTTGAAACATTGCTTGCACCAAACACTTTGTGCACAGCGGCAAAGTGGGCTGCAGCCTGGTCATAACAGAAATACGGTGCAAACACGCATTCACTTGTGCACTTTCTTCGCAGGAATTTGCATGCTCCACATGAAGAGCCCAGCCCTGTCATTGTCCTATGCCTTTTACTTATCTGTGTTGAGGTGATTATACTTGTACGAAAGCTGGTTTGTTTGGGAACTAGAGTTGAGATTTGCTCTTTATAATCATCACTTGGAAGTGTCAAAAACGCTTTTTGTTGTGGCAAGAGACATTCTCACTTTTCCTAGAAGTGGGTTTCTTTTGGGTCTCCCTTGTGGGCTACAATTTCATTCTCAAATTGGGTAAGGTTTTCCTAATTCGTGCCTTAAAAGGACTTTATTCGTTAATAATCTCCACATATAAACTGATGGAAAATCCAATCATCATTATCATTAGTAGGGCTAAAATAAAAGAGAGATATAATTGCTTTAAATAGTAATTTATCCTAAAATAATGTCATCAGCCAGGCAAGTACAATAGCCAATTCTCCTTTTAATTTGCATTATGAAAAGTTCTTTGTTCAAGAGAATGATTTTAAGAAAATACAGAACAAGGGTCCTCGAACTTTTGAAACTTGGAATATATGTGGGAATTTTCATAAATCTTACTAAACTGTGTATCCACAAAGCTTTCTAGTGCCCTTTTGTACACCTTTGCCACTCCTTTTGCAGCCGGCTGCTGGATTCTAGGTTCCATGCCATTCTCTATTTGTGAAAATGCAGTCTCAACAAAGCAGTTGAATCAAGATATGCAGCCTGTCAATGTTGACCTTATTTTTGCTGTGATGCCATCTCACTAATTGGGTTTGGTAATATTTATGTCTCTGTCCTCAAGAGTTCATTTCATGAGAAAGGAGAGAGAGAGAGAGAGAGACTTGGGCGCATGTTTGTCAGCAACTTATTGTAACTTTCTTAATTATTTTCCCCTGGATTCAGATCCAACCATGTAGAATTGGCACAATGTCAAATCCAATATGGTCGGTGTCGTAGAAATAATGTTACATTGTTAGCCAATATTTTATTCCTTCAATCAAAATCAAGCTGTGTGCATTACGGCTTTAAATATGCTCTTTTAGTTGAAGAGAACAAATTGATATTGTTTTATATGCAGAATTCATAGCTTTAGTCATTGGAAATAGTGTGCATGATTCATGACAGCTTTTTGTCTGGTTTGCAGTAATTCCCCTTATCATGCAGCTTTTAATCTACTTAATGCGGTAATTATCCATAACTAAGCATATTTTATTGTTACACTAAATCAGGTTGGGCTGTTGGCCACTTTACAATAAGTAGGCAGTTGAAGACTTCGAACAGCATCCATCCACCTCTGTCAAAGCCAAGAGAGTAACTCAGATGCCTATCAGCAACAGTTGCAACTAGTAAGTGCTTACTTTTCTTATCTGTTCTTATGCTTCAATGCTCTAGAAATAAAGCACACATGGGCAAATGATAGAGAGAGAAACAGGGAGACAAAATGCTGTTTTCAGTGACATTAATTCCTACTTTCTGTCTTTTCAAAACTGTTTAAGTTTTTGTTTTGAATGAAATTATGACAAGCAGGTGTTTATGGGATGGTGGAGGGGGGGA